TCTCTCTCTCTCTCTCTCTCTCTCTCTCTCTCTCTCTCTCTCTCTCTTTCTCTTTCTCTTCTTTTCTCTTTCTTCCAAATCAATCGACAAAGTAGAGAGGCATATTTTTTATTTTAACGACTTTGAGTTTGATTGATTAACTTGAGCTACTCGCCCTGAAAGATGTTACAAACAACTCGTTCGATAATTGCGTCTTCAACTTTGACCTCGAATGTATGCACGAATTATTAATTTCCTGTCATTCATGTTAACAAATTAAAAAAAAAATTAAAAAAAAAAAACAAAATTATGTTAATTTGTTAACTTGGAGTAAAAAAAAATAAAAAATAAAAAAAAAAAGTAGTTAAAAAACAAAAAAAAGCAATTGTTCCATCAACGGGAATATATCATTTACGCATATGTGTGCATGCTTGTGCATTGCGCTTGGCAATTGTCGGCTTGTTGACCCAGATCACCCAGATAGGGGATACGTTTTGATTGAAAATTGAGAAATTCGATCCAACGTTTCTTCATATCATTGATAAAAGCATTTGAAAAGTTGCGATAAATGCTTTCGTTTTCGCTTTCCATTTAACAGAAACTCTTTTTTTTATGGGATTTTCTTATGTTGTTCTTAAAATGAACGGGCAAATTATAGCTTCCTAAACATTCAAACTTATGTGAGACCTGGCGAAATAGCTTTGCATTTTAATAGATGGCTTAGCTAAGAGGAAAAACTTCTTGGCATTTTATATTTTAAGTAAAACAAGCATATACATGTATAAATGTGGATGTGTATTTGATCGATAGTCTTTTGCCATTCGTCTAGTAAAACCATGCCATCAATGACATCAATTAAGATCATCTACGGTTTCTAGATAAAAAACTGAATTAAGTTAAGATTTTCATAGAATTCTTTTGAAGTCAGTCCTACATCATACATAGGAAAGCTCTACAGACGGTGCAGCAAATAATGCGAGGCAAAGAACTGATTATAGAGGAAATGCATCGAAAGCTCTCAGCCAAGCTGGACGAAAAGAGCCGGACTCATTAAAGACGTTGTCGCTGGACGGAGATGCCTTTCCTATTAAGCAATTCTGGACGATTTATATCATTGTCACGATTCGGTCGCATTAGTCGTAGCCGGCAGGCAATGCGAGATTGGAGAACTGTGACGACATGCAACTCCATTCCAACCTCGCTTAGAACAAATCATTACCTTATGCAGCATCACCGTTTGTGTAGTGTCGTCTATGTGATCAGTTTTTCATTCTCAACTCTCTCTCCCCAATTTCTTCGAAAAGTGTTCAATTTTGTTTCAGATCAGCAACGGCTCATAAATAGAACCTCAAGCCATTTAGGTGTTTACCGTTTACTCATGTGATACCTGCCAAAATATCGACCATCGTTTTGTAGATAGCCTTATGCAACTGGTTCAAAACTAGTGTCCAGTCATCGTTTACCTTCGCAGCGATGTCTCGTTTGGTTTACCAATTTTTTTGTCGAATGTCGATCGATCAGGGTAGACGCGGCAAACCACAATGAATATTATGGGGATGTACTCTTCAGCCTAAAAAGCGCTACCGCATAAGCGACTTTTTTTCAGAAATTTGATTCATTTTCAAAACCCACTGTTGCGGTTACTTTCGACAGAATTAACAAAATGTGTATACTGGTGGTTTCTTTTTTCGATTATCTACAGTCTGTAGACTGTCACATTTCACACGTGCTATGCTATCATCATGCTGTCATAGGGTTTATATTACCATAGTTATGCGGCTGTAAAGGCATTGTTTTACATAACTATAGGTGATGCGTCTCATCACGATTTTTCAAAAGAAGAAAAGAAACATTTTTTATGCCTGCCTCGAACGTAACGAAGACAATAAATAAATGTTATAAATAAAACCGAGTTAAGAGTAACGATAATATTCAACGCAAATAATGTTGAGGTAGAATGTACATCATAGAGCCTAGAACAAAATTATAAAGAGCAATAGATAGAATAACATAATGGGGAATAAGGAGAAGAGCAAGACAAAGAGAGTGATCACATTTAGAAAAAAAATAAAAATTTTCCACTCAATTCATTAATTTCGAGTAACAACATGTAAAAAGACAACAACAACAAAGTGAAAGATATGTAAGCCGCCCTCATTGCTTTGTATATTAGTCGTGTTTCTTAAGAAAGAAGGAAATGGCATTGAAAAACCTTTTTGAAAAGTTTCGTCTATTGTCGCTAAACGATTTTCGGTACTATTTTAAACACACTGTAAACGAAGGCATAGACAGTAAAATGGACCATTTATTGTATGCCTATTGTTCCTATGATGATAGCGATGATGGCGATGATGGCGATGATGGCGATGCTGATGATAATGGGGGAAAATGAAGAGGTGACGGCAAGCTAGTAAAACATTTGTATATTGTACTATACACGTTGTTGTTTCAATTGCTGTTGTTGTTATTATAGTTGTTGTTATAGTTGTTTTTATAAGTATTACACAAATCTATATAAAACATGGAAAAGTTTATGCTCATTTTAGTTTCAAAACAGCAACTGCTCTTCCTCAAACTACGTTTTCTTCTCCTTCGTTTCACATTCACAGTCGGAATTATAACGGACAACTTTCTTCGTCAAAGTAATGGTGAGAAAACTTATAGTTACATCGTGTGTAGCAATAGCGTATAGAGTGGAAGAGTTACTTACAAACAAAGAAGAAAATGGAAGTTATTGAAACGTCCATAAAGCTTACTGCTTACGTTTGTCCAAAAACGATACGCGAGGGAGGTAAGTAACAGAGAGTTTGATAATACACTGCAGACAGTAGAAGTACGACAGGAGTGCAGCTGAAGGTTCGAATTGAATTTATTACTTTACCAGCCATTTAAACTAAACCAAATGTATTATAAGCAAACACACACACACACATACACACACATACATACATACATACATACATATATGTATATATATGCACGCGCGGAAACATTAAGGCAGCCCGTAAATGAGTAAAAGGAAATTTAAGAAAATTATGAGTAAATTTTGAATAAATTTAAATTATTTTAATATAATTGTTCTTCTTTTTCTTTTTTCGTACATTGTTTTATATTTTAATGATTATTATTAGCCGTATAACCTATACGATATATAAGGAAAAATAACGGCGAAAAAAAAGAGGGAAAAAAAATCAAATTTACATAAATGATTAAAAACATTAAACAAAAGCCATTCAATCCAACAAGCATAAGTACATAGATATGTATGTAGTGATATATATATCCATACATATATATGCGTATTCAACATCGCACCTAATGTCTGGTCATCATCATCATCATCATTATCATCATCGTCATCATCATCATCATCATCATCATTGTGATTATCACCAAAAGGCACTACACTACTGTCTATAATATGAGTGTACACATAAGCACATCTACTATACTGAACAAAACCGATGTGCAAGGAATGAAAATAAAAATGACCCAACATTTTGTAAATGTTGTTTTTGTATTTGTAATGGATGTTTTGTTTGGCATTTAAAAAACGTGAACCACTTGACTGTCTCTCTCCCTTTCTCTTTGCCAGTTCACATAATCTCTCGTTTATTTCATCAGCTCCATTCGATGCAAGGTTGTTATTGTTGTTGTCTTATTTTTTTTGTATTTTACTATCATAATAAAAAAGTGACCGAATATGGTGAAATTGAGCCTGAATAAATATACAAATTGGCAAAAAATATATATATTTTTTAATATATATATATATATATATATATATTTTTTAATAATAATATATATATATATATGTATATACATATAAAATAACAAACACACATACATATATATAAACCTATATATATATATATACATACATACATACATACATACATAAATACATACATACATAAATACACAAATAACATATAAAAAATGAACACGGTCTAAAAGTCAAGTGGTCACTTTTTGTTTGATATATAAAATAATTTTCTCCCATTTCTCCGCTTGTTTGTCGAACTGAAGGGTTGCTGAAATTGGCGGAAAAAATATACAAAAAAAGGAAAAAAAAGCAAAAAAGAAATAAATAAATAACAGGAACAACAACAATAACCGAAAGCTATGTAAAATTTTCATTATTATTGTAAATGGTTTTTTTTTTCTTTAATTGTATTATCTGAAAAAACATTTATTTAAAATAAAACGCAAAACAACGAGACTAGGGAAAGAGTTCGGCTAACCAGTTCATCATCCCTCGAATTGCTGCCAATATGTATATTATTATATGTGGCTTTTAGGTACCGCTATAATAGGACCCTATATAGGCCGGTGGCCAATGTTTTTCATCTTTTTTGCATGTCCAGCGTCTAGAAGTAGGATAAATGTAAAAATAAAAACCATTAATTATGATCATGCCGAGTATTGAGACGTTCGTGTTCTTATTTTTATCCTTCACACATTGTTGCAGGTATGTCACAATTATTAATAATAAAAAGTTCCCCTCTCATCTCATCCTATCTGTCATCATATCATATGTTGTATATTATTATTAATACCAGAAAATGAATATCATCATAAATGGCATTATAGAATATAATGCATACGTGTTCTGCACCCTCTGATACCTCTTGCTCAAGCAGTCCTTTTTTTTTTTTTTGTTCTTTTCACTCAAGTGGTGTCGTCTATACGTTTAAGAAGGAACAGCTGCAAGCGGATGCTGTTTTTTAACACAAAATCGGAACACCAGCAAAGTGCCAGCGAAGCCTTGGCAACCATCTATTCGGTATGCTATTCTATACGCTACCCTATAATACTATACCGCATATATCTGTCTTTTCCAATCATAATCACTTCATACTCTATAAGTGAATTAAACTGTAAAATTCAATGTAAAATAAGTTGGGCAAGGTCAAGCATTTGAATACTCGAACATCCTAAGTTAATACTTTTGTTAGTCAATATAAAATATCACATTTTTTCGCATTTACAGAACCACTTTTCACAGGAATTCTTATATGGGGGGGAGGAGCAAAAGCTGAACCGATGTGAGTTTTGAATCTCTTCTTTGGCCAATCCATATATGTTGCTCTTTACCCGATTATCTTGAAAAACGCGAAGCATTCGATTATTTTGGCATATAAGCACTTGCTTGCGATGCGAGCACTTATATAGTAGCGTGTACGCGTAAATCTATATGGTTAAAAGTTAACACAATGAGTTTGTCTGCCAAATCCCTGTTCTGATCAAAATTTAGGAAACTTAATTTGCTCTCAAGAAATTTTATTATTTTTCATTTCCCATCATAAAAACTAGAAATTAGACTTTCTCTTCATACAAGGGCTTGCTTTCCATGATCACCCCTACATACATTCTTATATGCGCTAGTATCCAAAAATAGGGCCTGCATGATTCAAATTTGGTTAGGTTGATTTCTTTATTAATTTGCTATCGCTTTGAAATATTGAAAATTGCACCTTCTTACCTTATAAAGATTCACTTTTCATAGGCATAGTTATGTGAGAGGGGGGTTCAAAAAGTTGCCTCATCCGAAGCAAAGTTTTCACACTAATTTAGAATGCCAAAGTACTATAACCCGTCGGCTTTTGCCAGCAAATTTGGAAAATTGAAATTTTTTATCCATATAAAGTCTTTTCAAAATAAATCGTGATCCGGACGGAGGGACGGACAGATGAACAGAAAAGCTTATCGATGATTCTGATTCGACCAGTATCTGAGTGTTTCATATATCCGCAAAAACTTAATGTACGCTGAAAATCTCTCCAATCTACTCGTATATCCCGCCCATGAGGTGTAAAAAAGCAAATACGATCTTACTATTTTCGGTTAGCATATTGCAAGAACCCATTTCTTGATATAGGTACGCCGGGGACTTAGTAAAAATCACCAGATTACTAACGAGACATATTCCAGCAGCTGTTCCTTTAAGCGTCTATCTATCAAGAGCACGCAAAGTAGCAAACATTCCTTTAACCTTCATTTGACCGACACGTTCTTGGTAAGCAAGTCAGGTTTTGATGCAGCGCATGCTGATTCATTACACGTAATCATAATCATTTCTACATAACGTCGTTTTTCGCCCATCGGGAATGGTTGGTGGAGTATGCTTCAAACGCATAAATATGTGATTTGGCTTAAACGACTTTATATCATTAATTTACCGATTAAGTAAAGTCAAACCAATTATATATCTATAGGGGTATGTGTAGAGGTACAGAGAGGAGTACCTGGTTGCTTTGTAATATCGGCAGATCCGTCAAAAATGCTTCAACACAACTTTCAACGCTTATCCTCTTAATTATTACCTTTGGATGCCACTAAACTCAATTCTCTAAAATATTCTTACTTGCTTAAGTTAATGATAAATTATTTATTACCAAATTGTGCATAGTTTTCGCTTTTCTTTTTAGAAAAATTTGTTCAATTTTATTACTCAACATTATCTAAATATATTCACACATACAATAGGGTCAATAGAAACTTAGCCTACGAACGATTTGCTAACCGCTTCGCCCACCATTGATTGATGGATTGATCCCTCGCTTTGTAGGATCTAGAAATATGGAACGTAGATCCCGCAAGATACTAATAATATTCTTTATGGACATAACATTCCGTATCTGTCGTCTCTTCTTATTCGAGCCATCAGGGTGGTATAACTGATTATAGCAATTTGGCGTAAATATATACATATATATATATTAGTTGATGGCGACTAACGAGTTTTAAAATAGACTCAATTCGATTAAATTCGATTTGTTCCTTTTCTTAGTGGGAGCCATCGAGGGCCAGAGCTTATTGCAATCGTTTAATTAGCCATCAGTCTTCTTAGCCACTTTGATGGAACTCGTCTGGTTGAGTCAGTAAAGAAATTTATTGTAAAGTATCTCTAGTTGTTCAATTTAAGAGTAACGGTACACGGCCGAGTTTGCTGAAACTTAAATAATATACGCAAATATACGTTACACCATTTATGCTACAAGATAGATTAAGCTGAGGCGTAATTTTTCACGTTTTATGATCAAAATTGTTCCAGAATAATAATTCGATAAGTAAAAGTACCGGGCCAAGTGCGCACTATAAGGATGGATCTTGTCACGAAAAACAAGTCTTTATACGGTATTAAACGGTCAGCCTTAGCCAGCTGTCACACTTTGAAAGCCTTTCATAAATTTCTGTAGAATTAGCATAGCTTCCGTCATGCCGATACTTTGCCGAAATAGTTGAAACACAAAGGAAGTTTTCAAAAAGCAAAGCTGACGAGAAATTTACGAAAAATGAAAAACTGACTTAGAATCTTTAGAATTAACTTATATTAAATATAACTTTATTCTTTTGCAAGCTTTCCCTCTACGTGGCAGTCTATGAAAATTTTTCCATAAAACCCATATGTGATATAATGTATGAAATCAATCATGACCAAAAGGTCAATAATTCACGATCTGATATGTAATAACTTTATTAATAACAAATAAGAAAATTATATCAAGCTGTCGCTGAACCTTTTATACCAAGCACAGTCATCCTAGAAACGACTGAACGAAAGGACTGAAAAAATAAATTTTCATCCTGCATAATATTGGGTGGGCGTGGGTGATTTTGTCTATTTTTGTAGAATATGTGTAGCGAGTGTTCTCAGTTTTTTCTCATTGTAAGCCTGTTTTTTGACCGCTTAGGTCGTTTTCAACGTCTTTGTAAATTTTCTAGGCGACACATTGGGCGAGCCAACAGACGGACATTCTTAATTCATTCAACCATTCTGCATTTACATTTATCCGGAATGTTTGTACTTTATAGTGTTTTTGAAGCTTACTTCCGAACGTTATAAAGATTTTGACACATGACAATTAAGTGAATGGGCATAGACGGTTTTTCTTATTTTTGCGTAAGTACTATAACGTCACCTATGGAAAGTGTACTTATATATTTACATGTGCAGTTTCTGGATAGTGCGCAAAATAACAATTTTGTTTTACTTTTCGAAAGCAAGGATATTCTCAGTTGAGATAATACTATACGCGCGTCCTTCAAACGATTTGGCCCGTTCTCAATACAAACGTGCGTGCAAAAACTTTCAGAATTGCTGTCAAACTTGAAGTCGATAGCTATATTTTACAAGTGGACAGATGGAAGCATGGACATGCTTAAATCGATTTAGAATTTGGTGCTAATCAAAAATATATATACTTTTTGGGGTTTCTGAAGCTTCTCCTATCTTATACGCCTATAACTCTCATCCTTTCGATGATGGTTATAACAGTGCATCATAACGTTCAATCCAATCTTCCAATATTTTTCTTATATTTAGAGATTCTCAAAGTTATAAAATTCGATATTGAAAACTGAAACCCGACACTTGCCGCAAATAATAAATAAATCCACGCCTAAGTTGTACATGTCAGGTTTGATGCCCAGATCTGCCGGCTTATAGAAGCAAAAACGGCACAAAGAAACTCTTCACAAACTATTTGGCTACTAATTAGAAATTGATCACTAAGCTATGCTCGAGCTGTAGAAGAACTTTTTAAGGAAACTTTGACAAAGAGAAATTCATAGGCAAAGGCCTGATAATTATGAAGTGGAGCTTTATGTCCACTTCTAAGTGCAACGAAATATTTTGCATAATATAAAAAAGAAAAGCGAAACATTTAAAGCGAATGAAGTGCAAAACAAAAGTAAATGCTTAAATGAATGCACAAGAAGAAAAAATATTAATCTAGTTTTAGGGGCAAAGTAATGTACATAGCTAAGTAACGGCACCTCTATTAAATTTTTTAATCAAATTTCATTCATTATTCTATAGCCGGCTTGTAAAAGTTACATTGCTTGACACGTCCTAGTAATTTTTACATTTATTAGTTTATTTGCTTCAATAGCCATGAAGAGAGGCTGGAATGTGTTGGCAAAAAGAAAAGAGTAAAAGCAAAGAACAATTTTTGCTTTTTTAATATGCTGAACCCAAACAAACGAATGCAATAAAATTTGCAAAATAGAAGCAAAGGTACATATTCGTATAGTTTCGCTGTGCCTGCATTTTTATTTTTTAAGCGCCATCTTCATGTCACATTACATGGTGACTTTTATAAATGAAAAAATCAGCTGTTCGTTCGTATACTAACAATGTACGTACATAGCCAGGTGCTTACTAATTTGTTTGGTGCGCGTTTTCTATTTTGTTTGTGCTCTTTATTAAAATCGAAAAGAATCGCTACAATTTCTAATAATTTCTGTTTAGAGTCAATCGCATAAATATAAATATGGCGAGCACTGACTTTTCAGAACTGTTTGCTAAAATGAGTTACATGAGTGATAGAACAACCTACCTGTAGAACAGCATTCGCATAACTTGCTTGAATGTAAAGGTGATCTACTGTGTGCGTCTCTGGAATGCAACAGAACCTTGCTTGTAGATTAGCGCACGGCAACAAGGCTGAGGGGCGTGAAAATACAAAATTGTCAAGTAAGTGATAAATGCGTGTGTGCACAACTTTGATCTGTTGACTTCAATTCTAATAACCGTTTTTTTTTTTTTTTGTTAACGGTAATGTTAGCGTTGAAAGTCGTCGTATATGTGTGTAAGGTTGTGCGCTTATCTCAGCTAAATAATCAATACTCGCATAGTAATGTATGCACATATGAGTGAAATAAAAATTGAGAATTTATTCTACACCAGTTCTGCAAACAGTGAAGATTGCGTAGCAGCTGCACAGATTGACTGACACTAATATTCTAGTCTAGCAGCCAAGAAAAACTGCATGCGTTCCGAGATGACATTTGCTTAAAATTATCCACTCCAGTCCAATACAATTTTTAATCCAAACTTTAACTTTACAACAAAAAAATTGATTTGATTTTTTTTATTATTTATTCTAAGGAGAATTCAAATAAAATAACAGAGGTGAAGAATATTAAAGGTTAGAAGTAATTTTAAACTTTTCTCGTAACTAGTTAAGAGTTTAATCCGCGTCTAAACCTTTATTAATGGCTCCCTGAGCATACGGTTGGGTGCTCTCTGCCACTGCATTCGCTTTGTGCTCACGAGGAATGTTGCTTTGTGAAGCTGGCGGGACATTTGCTAAATCCACGGATCGTCTAACGCCTGTAATTGTTCAAATTTTTTACTTTAATCATTTTCCTAGAAGAAAGTGACGAAATCCAATGACATTTTATTTAACTTACTACAACAACAACCCATAATATATATATATATTTGTGTCTTTCCCAGACGATCTTCGACGATGCTCGACGTGATTAAGAAATTTCAAAAAGTTAAAATATCGTTATTAATAGAAAGAGTAATTATTTGATTATATCAACCAAGGAATTTTTATTAACACTGTTGCTGATGTAAAAGTGAAGAAACTAAAGTAATTATAAATTTTTTTTTTTTGAAAAAATAATTGATAAGATTTGAAGTTTTTATCAAATGATTAATTTTTTGAGTGCCTATCGATCATGCATGGTAGGGAAAAAATAAAGGCGGACATGGTTTCATAAATGAAATATACATATTATATATTTATACAGTGGTGGCCACGAGTTTAGCACACTTCGTACCTATTGTTCTCAAAAGCAAATATGCTTTTCTAATTATCATCAACGATTCTAATATTTGTCCTCAAGTGTAGCGTGCGGCGTGATCAGCATGCATCGTTATTTTCTTTTTATTCCTCAGATGTGCTCAATGTCAAAGACCCAGAACAAACGACCCGTAAGGAGTACTCATTAATTTATGGTGCGTCTGCAACCGATCCATATATAAGCTCAACGATAATTCATTTGCAGACGGAAATCCAGAAGACTTATTGTCCAGACTTTCTTTTCGTGAGGAACTTTCAAATGCATCCAAACAACCAAAGAAAAGTAATGTTACCTGAACTTCAGATCATGGTTAACTCGACTCGAAAACCCAAACAAGTGTTCGCCTAATAAAGGCACATGTACTAAATGCGCTAAATTCATGTTCACCACTGTATATATTTATTTATATATATATATATATATATATATATATATTATCAAAGTAAATAGCAGTACAACTGATATGAGAATCAACATTTAAAGCAATGAACGACCCTTACGTTATTTTTGCCGGCCTATTGGAGAAAACGTATTCAATAAGATTGTAGTTATTTATTTACAGCTCAAGTATGAATTGGGATTATTTAAAATTGCTTTAAATTTTGTTTTTTTCTTTTTTTTTTCATAAAAAATTAATTTAAAATATAAAAAGAAAAAATGACTGATAAATGTCTACTAATTAATTTACGAAGTAAATTTCACATTTTTGTTTAAAGAAACACTTACAAAAAAGAAAAACATATAAATTACCATCCATTTAATAAAATAACTTTTTCCCATCTCCCAGTTACAACTGTATCCAGTTTTTTTTTTTTTTTTTTTTTTCAAAGAGAGTAAAAAAAAAAAAATTAAATTGATTTCCTTCTTTTTGCCTCATCAAAGTTAGTTGACGTCATTTTTTTTTTTTTTTTTTTTTACATATCTATATATATATATATATATATATATATATATATATACGTACATTTATTTTTTTTATCATTCAGCATTTCAATTACAATTCCTTTGCATACTGTGAAAACTTCGGGCTTGTGTAAGAAGGAAAAAAAAAAGACGAAAAATTCCAACCCTAGCCACAATGCTTGTCCCGTTTAAGTATGCAGGCCAACTGAACAGAGTGAAGCGGACACATTAACTGCCGCCTCATCTATTTAATACCATAAATAATTGCATCTAATTAAATATTCACGCGGATGAATGAAAATGTCCTTTTTTCTTGTGGTCCCTTGCTATCCAACTCCTAAAGCGTTCTTACTGAGGCTTTCCTTATTTGTACATTTTTCTAATTTGTATAGTTATTGTTGTTGTGATGATGCTGTAATGCTGTTGCTCTTAGCTGCATTTGACGCGTGATGGAGCGAATGTCATTCGAAATGAAATTTAGTGCGAAACAACAGCAAGAAAAATATAAAAAACCATACAATTTGAAAGTAACGATAGTAAAAAAAAAGAAAAAGGAAAAAGCGTGTAAGAAAAATTAAGTCAGCGTATATATGCATACATATACATATACTTACATAAAAGAAAGTAGAAAAGGAAAAGACGAAATGTTAAATTTAATAGTTTTCAATTAGGAATCATTCGTTTGCAGGTTTCGTTTTCTTTTTGTTTTTTTTTTTTTTTTGTCCTTTTCTTCTTCTTTTTCGTCGTCTTCTTTCAAAATAGAAGTGGCTTTGCCATCATTTCCTCTTAAGCACAATAAATGAAGTCACGTTTCTTTTCTTTTCTGTTTTTATTTTTCTTCTCCCCCCCTGCCGCTCTCTCTCCACCTCCTTTACAATGCAAAACTGGCGCCATTTTCAAAGCTCATTTAATTTAATCGTTAATTTAAACTCTATTTAATTTTTGTCAGCCTTTTTCACGGCTGCTTGCAAATGTACGCGGCATTTATTATAAAATTTTTATTAATTTCTTGCATGTCTATAAAACTATACAACAACTACATTAAGAAAAAAAAAAACTTTACTATTGGATAAGTTTTTTTTTTTTCTTCTCACTATGTTTGTCGTTTAACATCTAAAAAGAAATCGTTTGCATATGAAATGAAGTGGAAAATAGTTTATTGAAGACTATCAACCACTTCTAAACGTGAGGCGATTTCTTTTCTCCCAAGCATTCATTTTATTGATTGTTTGGAATACGGTTTTTTCAAAAGCATCATTCGGGTAATAAGTCGTTGGATAAATAACGTCATGCTCTCAATTGCCGAAGACAACTGAAGCGGAGAAAGTCATCTGCTTCGACCAGCTTGATGTGTAGGAAATGTTTCGAATAATGCGCTTTAATGAGCACATTCATCGACGAAGAGAAGCCTGCCATTGTTTATTGTATGAGAATTCATTTGATCAACAAAGATGGCAAGAACACCGTGGAAATTGTAAAAAATATTAATAAGGTTTGTGAGGAAAGCATACTAAACATAAGGCAGAGGTAAGGATTTGCTTCATATCCATTTTCCATATCCAGAAAGGAAGAAAAGCTTAAAGAAGGACTTCATATTAGTTTCCCAAAAAGTTTTTCAAAATCGATTTTACAATTAATTATTAAGTAAAACGACTAAAAATGGGACCTCTAAAGAATTGTCAAAGACATGGAGACATTTACAAGCGAAGGTATTCCATTCCTTACAAACGGAAAGTGCAGCCAAAGCATACAAAGAAAAATAGGTTTGATGGTTTTAAATATAATGCAAATGATAGAAAAACGGCAAACGGAAGGCGGAGCCGCCTACGCTTGAAAAGGTAAACATTTCCACGAAAGACAAGGATGAATGGTGATGAAATGGTAGCATTTGTCGTGTGTCTACTGCATAGCACATCCAAAACGCGTCTCGATCGACTCAACAATGTATCGTTTATGGTACTCTCTATTTAGCTGGGTGACAGCAGCTCGCCGAGACTGCGGCCATTTTCATCTACCTCTCCTCGCATTTTTCTGACCATCACCATCGCATCATGCGAAACATGTCCTGAAAAACAAAAAATGCTGTGGCGCTGAAATTAGAGAAGCCACCAGTTCACCAGTTAACAGTAAAACAGTAAATTACAGAAAGCTATATAAGCAATATGGAGAGGCCATGATAAACGTGTTTTATTTGTTTCACATGAACTGGCAAGAGATATAGAAAAACGCAAGACTAAAAAAATATTATTCATTCCTCAGCCCAGCTGCAGCTGAAACTGTCTGCCGACCTTCATTGCTAAGACATTTAAGTAGCGCTCACGCTGGATGTCCTATTCCGATAATACACGTTCGCGCCAAAATCAGATGGAGCGGTTAATTTGAGAATGAATTTAAAACCAATAAAATGTATAAATAAATAAATAGGGAAGAAGCAAGAAAGTGCCATTGGCAACTGATTGAAGAAACGGCGTTTAGTAATAGATAGACAGGATTTAAACGACAGAATGAGTAAAGAGAGCGCAGATAGTAAAAATTTCGATTTTTGTCTGTTTCACGAGAATGTTTGAATAAAACGAAGTTGTCCAGTTCTCGTCCAAAAGGAAATTCTCTTATCGAATATTCCCGCCGCACTGTTATTCAAAATTTTATAACACATTATAGACTTGGTACGAAATTCGAGTCAAAATAATCAAATTTGCACAAGTTAGTTGATGCGTCGATTTTTCAAAAATTACCGCATTCGGGAACAACGAGTCCAAAGTTTTAAAAATTTCGTATAATTTTTTCGTATTAGATTGCAATCGACAGCACCACCAACTACTGCCCTGCATGCTCACATATTCTAGTTAGTCTTATTTGCTTTTCCTGCATCTGTCAAAGACAGAATCGTCTGTTCGACTCTTTACCTGCACGGAAATGACGAAAAAAAAGCGCGAGGCATAATTAACATCATCATTTGGTATCATTGATACGAAA